TCCGCTATCGATAAAGATTCTGCGCGGAATCCCCGCCACCATCAATAATCAATCACCACTATTCAATCAAACTTTCTTTACAATCACTCAACACTCTTTCATCACTCATTCAAGCCATAGATTTCTCAATAGACACTTTAAAAGCCTATAATCACAATGACCGTCACAGACTCCACCCCCGCTGGCCGGCAAGTCAATGTCCTCTTCGTCTGTCTCGGCAACATCTGTACGTCCTGGTCTCCCCCGCATTATCGTGAACTGCACCGCCAGCTAACCCAACCACCCAGGCCGTTCTCCCATGGCAGAAGGGGTTTTCCGCAACGTCGCAGCCTCCCATCCTCTAATCAATGAAATCGATTCTGCCGGCACAGGTGCCTACCACGCCGGCGAAGATCCCGATTCTCGCACCATGTCCACGCTCCGTCGCCACAACATCCGTAATTACAACCATGCCGCCCGCAAAGTCACCAAGCAGGACTTCCTCGACTTTGACTACCTCCTTGCGATGGACAAGTATAACCTGCGCGATCTGTTGGATGTGCGCGAGTCGGTCCTGGCATCTATGAACAAGTCTGGCCCCGCATCGCGTGGCACCAAGGGTACCCGGGCTGCGACTGCGGCATCCCTTGCCGCGAGCGGGGAAGCAGGCGCCAAGGTTGCGGAGGTCCGTCTGTTCGGTGACTTTGGTACTGGTGGTGTCTTGCACGAGCGCGTCGGCGGAGGTGAGGTTGTTCAGGATCCCTACTATGGTGGGGTCAACGGCTTCGAGGAGGTCTACCAGCAGGTGACGCGGTTCTCGAAGAGCTTTTTGGAATACTTGGAAAAGAACCAGGGCTCGGAGTCGGAGAATTAAGTTGATGGGGTTATAGAGAGCTTGGCTTTCATAGAGTGCGCTGTGCGATAGAAGCACCCGGGCGCGTTTGGTTGTAGATACCCAGTTATAGACTCGCTGAGCGAATAGTCAGGCCTTTACATGAGGTTATATAAGTGTGACAAACCAAGATAATAATAGTACAGCTTTTATCGTACATTTACAGATTTTGACCTTCGTGCTATAAGGCTCCCCATAGTGTGCTCACACCCGTTCGCTGATTTTGATGGCTGCCTTGCATCCGTAGCGGATGACATTAACCAGCGGATCGTACGGACGGGCTTCCTTCGCGTCATTTTCGACAGCATGGTCCAGATGCTCCAGCTCCTCATCGCGGATTCGTCGGAAAGTTGCCAGCATTTCCTCCAATTCTTCATCCAACTCCTCGCCCCGACTCTCAGCCTCCGCCTTCCAGGATAGAATCTCCCGCACTTGATCATTATAGTGAGACCCAATCTCGGTTTCTACAGCTTCCGTGCAGGCCATTGCTGCCTCACGTCCCATCATTCCGGTAGACCAGCCCAGGAACGTTGCTGCGACCTCCCATACCGGATACATGGCCGTCGGTCGTACTCGGTGTTTCGCAATGAGATGGTTGAACGTGTCGAAGTGCCCCGCTTCCTGATCGTACATGTGTTTCATCAATGGCCGTAGGTGAGGATGAGAGCGCACGACTTGTGGTGTTTGCGCCGTGTAGATCAAGGTGGCCGCTAGCTCGCCGGCTTGGTTGACGCGGAGGGCTCGGTCGAGAAACTCGCGTTGTTGCTGATTGAGAACATATTTTGGTTTCGATGATCCAGATGTCTGCTGTGACACGGAGGGATTCGCTGCGGACTGCCGTGTAGCTGTAGAATTGTACTGGCGACAGGTTTGTAAAGTGGAAGGCGCGAGAAAGTCGAGGACGGCGGGAGGTGTTGGCCGAAGGGAAGGGGCCAGCGGAGCCCTTCGGAGCAAGCTGAGGGCCTTCATGATAAAGATAAGTTATCCAATGGTCAATTGGAAGGCCGTTCAAGCTTCAGGGCGAGGTTTAAGGCCGCGGAGGAATGCCAGCAGCAGCCATGAGTTCCGAGGTGGTCCAACCCGATCGATAAGCCGCAGCCGCGCGCTTACACGCCTTGGCACGCCATCCCTGGACCGGAACGTCATGAACGAGCGTCGAGAATCGCTCCAATCGCTTCTTTTCACTTCCCGGCTCTGCTCTTTCACTTCACTAACCACCTTCGCCTTCACCACACCGCCCCCAACAGGATTCACCAGTTCACTGCCTCCTCCGTTCTTTATTTCGATACGCGACCCTATTAATACTAGTCTGTGAGAGTGTTCACCACTATTATTATAGAGCGACCCCGTCCGAGTCAGCGCCCTCTGGCCACCTAACTCCCTTTTCACTCGGCGCGACTGCGGTTCAGGTGGCATCTGTTACCCTGGAAGCCATCCATTTTCCTGCTGGCGGCTTCCTTCCCTGAGCAGTCTAGCGCCGCTTGCCTTGTTACTGGTGTTACTAGGACCTGAATTCCAAGGCAACCTCTACCATCATTCACTATGGCTGACGACCTCGATGCCGAGCTTCTCGCTCTTGCGGGAGACTCCTCCGATGAGGAAGCATCCCCCCCTGCCAAGGAGAGAGTTCAATCTCGCAGTCGATCATCATCCCCTCAGTCTCCCGACGCATCGGCTATGGGTCGCAAAGGCACTGCTAGGACCGTGAAACGGGGCCGGAAGTCGAGAAGAAACGACGATGAAGAGGATGGCGAACTGTATGTTTTGTTTGCCACGCGTGTTTGCGATGCCGCTTTTTGTGGTCATCACTACGACTCGCAGACTCGGCTAATATAGTACTCTCTATAGGTCCGCTGCTGAATCGCTCGACTCTGCTAGCATGTCCGAATCGGATTCAGGATCGGATTCTGAAGGCTCAGCCCCTGAGGCTGAAGATGAAGGCCCTATCTTCCCTTACGAGAAATTATACTACTCTGCTAAGGACAAGGAGGAAATCATGGCGATGCCCGAGATTCAACGAGAGCAGCTCCTCTCCGAGCGTGCGCAGGAGGTTGATCGTCATAATCAAGATCTTGCTCTTCGTCGTCTTCTGGCTTCCCGTGAGCGCGAGGAGGCCCGCAAAGCGAAAAAGAACAAACGAAAGGCCAGTGTGGCAAATCTTGATGAGGGCAACCGCAAGAGTTCGCGTCAGAAAATGACGCTTGGTGGCCGTAAAGTGGGAGAGACCTCCGACGCTATTGAAGCTTACAAGCGGCAACGAGAGCAGAAGGGGAAGCGTGACGAGCTCCGCCGTCGTGAACCAGTCAAGGAGAAAGCCCGTTCCCGCGATGACCGGATCTCCGACGAAGACGCAGAAGGCGAGAGTGAAGTCGAATGGGATGACAGGGAGCGCTCACCGTCTCCTCCGAAGGACGACCCGCCTGCTGAATTGCGGGATATCCAACGCACTCGGGTGGGTCGGACCAACTTTGCCCAGGTCTGCTTCTATCCTGGGTTTGATGACGCTATCTCCGGCTGCTATGCCCGTGTTAATATTGGGCCGAACCGTGAGACCGGTCAGAACGAGTATCGTCTTTGCTTGATTAAGAGTAGGGAAAACCTCTTACGTTCGCGTTAAATTATTCGTCGCTGACTTGTTCAGGATTTTCCGAGGGAAAGCCTTATGCGATGGAGGGCCAAAATGGCCGGTCATTCGTGACGAATCAATATGCTGTGTTAGCACATGGAAAGGCTGAGCGCGAGTTTCCTTTTGTTGCATGCTCCGACTCTCCGTTTACAGAGGTAAGCTACTTGGCATGTCTCTGTGTTAGCATATACTGATACACTGTAGGCGGAATTCAACCGGTATCGTCAAACCATGGCCGTCGAAGACTGCAAGATGGCTACAAAGTCAATGGTTGCCAACAAAGTCACGGATATCAATCGGTTGCTGAACCACAAGTTCACCAACGAGGAATTGAACGAGAAGCTACGCAAGCAAGGCTCGTTGGATACGAAGTACAAGTTCTTCAAGCGCGTGGATATCGAGAAGCAGCTGAAGCTTGCTCGAGAAGCTGGCGATGATGCGGAAATGGAGCGGCTGGAGGCTGAGTTGGCCAGCATGGCGACACCGAAGCTCGCAGTTGGCAGCAATCCCAAGCCGCGCGTGGACAAGCCCTCGGAACATGAACGCCTTGCTGAGCTGAACATACGCAACCAGAAGCTCAATATCGAGAACGTGCGCCGGGCGCAGATAGAAGAGCGCAAGGCCAGCCGTAAAGCAGCTGCAGCTGTTGCTCGTGGAGAAGCCGCCCACAACCCGTTCATGCGCGTTAGAACCCAAGCGCGGACTCATTACGACGTCAATGGCAACGGCACCCCCACTGAGAATAACGCGAGCCAAGAGAACACTGCCTCGGAGACACCGTCTAAAGCGAGCACACCGGCCAGCGGTACCCCGGCGGGATCCCAGAAGAAAACCAGCAAAAGTGGCGTTGCCTCCATCCGGCACCGGAACATGGATGATGAAAACATTGCGGCCTTGGATTTGGAGCTCGACATTGAAATTTGATCTTGGATGAGGGAAAAAAATTTGGACACATCTAGCACACCACTAGCATCCTACATACAGCATATACGATCTTGCCGACGGCTTCTGATGGAAATGGCACGATTTTGTTATTCGGGAAGCATTTGAGACAGCGTCGGATTCCAGGGGGCGGTGTTTATTGGCGTAACGAGACACATAACATGGGCGCTGTACGATAAGAATAAAGCACCTTTATGAATTGGCTTCACCAGTTGTACAAATCTACGCTTTTCTTCGCATCTTCTATACCTCCGCAATAGTCCATACCAAACCTTACGGGGTTGATTGTGGCCGATAACGCGGCTTATCGGCCGATCACGTGTGATAGCAACGCGTGCGCGGCGCGTCCATTACTTGCTATAATCTACTATCCCGACAAGTAATTACCACCTCCGTAGATTCTCCGCCCTTGCATTCCTCCCACTGTGGACACCACCGTGCACATCTCCATTGACCTCGAATTCATATTCCAAAATACCCATAGACATGACCTCTACCAATACACCAAACTAATACCTTCCTACACCCAACCCAAAAGATACCCCAATCTCAAATCACAAAATGTCATCCACGCCCTCCACACCGCGCACGACGCGCACCGCGTCTCGCGCAAACTCCCCCAACGCCGCCGCCAACGACGACAACATGATGCTTACTCCCGGACGAAAAATCAAAGCCATGATGGCAGCCTTCGACAGCGACTCCGAATCAGAAAATGACGTACAAGCACAACGGAAACCCGATCGATCTACCACTACGCTAAGCAATGCGTTGAAACACAGCACTATCTCCACACAGCCTACGAACCCAGCCGATTCGGACGACGACGACTCGGAAGATGATGAGGATATTGTCATGCCGAAGGGGCGCATGGCTGCGCGGTTACAGGGCCAGGCTCAGAATCAGTCTGAGGGGCAGACGGCCTTTGAACGGGTTTCGAAGACGTTGCGGACGGAGAAGGAAGATGATGATGATGTGGTTATGGATGATGAGGACGAGGACGAGGATGATCTTCCTACGGCTGGACCGAGGAGGAGAGGGAGGAATACTGCTGATTTGGATCCGGAGGTAGAGATGGATCGGGCGCCGTCTCCGGCGCGCTCGGAGTCGCCTTTGTTTGTCTCTGATGAGGATGAAGCAGGGTCGGGTAATGAGGAAGAGGCGCAGCCGAAGGCTAATTCTCGGTTCCTGGCGTTAGTTGCTCAGAAGCGCAAGGAGAGGGAGGAGAAGGAGAAGGCCGAGGCTGAGAAGAGAGCGGCGAGAGCCAAGCAACAGGAACAATTCAGTTCGGAGATTCTGTCTGGTAGTGAGAGTGAGGGTGAGAATGGATCCGGACGGAAGATGACGCAGCAGGCGTCGCGTCCTGCTAGAAAGGCGAGCAAGAAGGCTCTGGAGGAGATGAATCGCGAGACGCAACGGATGAGTCGTAATATGCAGCTGGCGCATCAGGCTCAGACGAAGAAGAAGATTACGAAAGAGAGCTTTTTCGCTCGGTTTAATGCGGTCAAGTCTGATGAGCGGACTGCGCCTGGGGCGCCGGGGGAGAACTCGTCCACGACTGCTGATTCGTTGAACTCGTCTGATGCTGAGGCGCAGAAGGAAAAGGAGACTCCGCGTACTTCGCCTGTCCTTGGACCGGTCGAGAAGGAAGCCGGCGAGGGTTTGGGTAAAGAGGCGGAGACTGAGTTCCGTCCGTTGGAGGATATTCTTGAGAATCCACGTCCGCAGCCTGAGCAACCTGTTGTAGCGAGGATGGAGATCGATGAAGCGCATATAACACAGCCGGGAAAGACGCCTTCCAAGAAGGAGAGAAAGGAATTAACGGGCCCACCTGTTCGCGTGCGTCTCACGCGCGAGGAGGTCGCCCGGCAACAGAAGGACGATTCGGACAGTGAGCTTGAGATTGTCACCTCCCCGGCCAAGTGTCGACGTATTGCGGCGTTCGAGAATGTCCCCGCCAGAAAGGCCCAGGAACCGGCGTCTATGATGAAGCTGAAAGCTCTGGCGCATATTACGTCTCCTACACGCAAATCCGCCATGCACCCTGCCCAATTGTCCGCCACGGTACTGTTGAAGGCGAAGCAACAAGCTGCAAGGGAAAGGCAGCAGAGAATCGAGGAACTGAAGGCTAAGGGTATCCATATCGAGACAGCCGAAGAACGCGCCGCCATGGAGGACGAGCTCGAAAATCTCGTTGAGAAGGCCCGGAAAGAGGCTGAAGATATCGCCAAGATAGAACGAAAAGCGGCCAAGGGTGGAGATGAAGACGACGAGGATTGGGACTACTCTGGTTCTGAGGAAGAAGCCGAGGAGGATGAGGATGAGGAAGAGGACGAAGATAAGCCTGCTGGTGAAGACGGACTTGTCGATTCTGAAGCAGGCGAAGGCGATGAATCAGAAGATGACCAGACGGAAACCATGTCGGTCGATGAGAACGATGCGCCAACGCAGAGGCGAAAGCGGCCTACCAGAGTTGTCCTCGACGACGAAGACGATGAAGATGAGGAAACCGATCCAAAGACGCCTGCGAAATCCATCGTTACGCCTACTACACGTTCCGTTGAGCGGCCACAACTTCCGACACAGAGCTCCAGCAACCTGATGAGTCTAACGCAGGCCTTTGCCGGCACAATCTCTGGCAGCCACCAGGATAATGCGCAAAGTGGTTCTACGATTCCTTATTCTGCTCCTGACCCAGATCCTATGGCTGAAGACCGTGAACCATCCGACTCGCAGACGATTATCAGAGACAGTCAAGAGCCAAGAAAGGGGTCTGTCGATCTGCTGGCGGGCTACGCACAGTCTGATTCACGAATCTCCGAGTCTCCTGCTCCGCGATCGACCCAGCTCTCCGAAATGCCAGATCCTACTCAGGATGCCGGGTTTGTCTTCTCGCCCTTCGACCCCAACAAGCGATTCCTCGGAACCCCCCAGTCGACCATCGATACCGTTGTCATCAACCGCGACAACCAAGATGGATCGCCAGCCCCAGCCCGCAGAATGAAGCAGCTCAAGCGCGGACGGACAGCCGACCTCTCCATGATCGAAGAGCAAGAAGAAAACGACAACGAGGGCGACTTTGAAATCGACGCCAGTGCATTCGACGTAATGAAGAAGGCAACCAAGAAGCCCGCCGTGCCCTTCGACCGCAAGAAGAGCAAAGCCAAGGAAATCGTCGAAGAAGCAGCCGAAGAGTCCGACGACGAATACGCCGGTCTAGGAGGCGCCAGCGACGAAGATGACGACGAAGCCGAGAACGCCTACGATAGACAAATGATCAACGACAACAGTGGCGAGACCGTCGACGAAAAACAGCTGGCAGCCCTGAATGCGTAAGCTTTCCCCAAACCCAGCCATATACCCCTTTAGAAACTTACAATGGCGCACCAGTCTCCACCAACGCACCAACGACGAAAAGCAAGTCGCCAAACTGCTCAAAGACATCACCACAGGAGCTCTCCGCCGCCGTCGCAACGCCGACGACGAATTCGACCTCGACGACTCAGACGACGAGCTCCTCGCCCGCCGGCGCGAGAAACAGCGCGAGTTCGCACGCATGCGCAAAGCCCTCCTGGCCGACGAGAAGATCGGCGAGATCGCCGAAAACCCAAAGAAAGCGGCATTCTTCCGCGCCGTCGAAGACCGCGATGATGACGACGATGATGTGGGATTCGACTTCCTCGACGAACCGCAGGAATCCACCCAAACGGATGATCCATCCTCGCAAGACAACAACAACACCACACCCCAACCTAACGACACCGTCACCAACAACCGCAAACGCCCCCTCGACCACACCACCGACCCATCCGACCCCCAATCCCTCCCACCCCGTCCCCCACCACACCTCCGCCGCACGAAACCCGTCTCCGCCATGTCCAAAAAACCCGCAACATTAGCAGAAATCCGGGAAACACTATCCTTCCTCACGGAAACACACGATTACGACTCCTTCCACGAGGACGCATCCATCGACATGGACGATATGGACATGGACATGGACATGGAAAACGACACAGACGAAGACGGCGACGATCCCCTCTCCACCGCAGCCCACCAACAAGACGGCGCCCAAGAACCCCAGCCAAAGGACCAACAGCAACAACAACAACAACAACCCCTTCCCCCGTCCCAACGCCAACACCCGCGCCGCACCCGCGGCCCCGTCGTCGACCGCCTCGCCCTCCTCCGCCAAGCATCCTCCAACTCAGCCAACACCAACTCCTCCACCACTACCAATTCCAGCGGAGCAGGAGCCACAGCACCCGGCGGAAACAGAATGGCATTCCACTCCGGCAGTTCCGGCGCGGCAGAACTTTCTGGCTTCGCGCGGCCCCCGCCACTCGTTCGGAGAACTACGGCTTCGTCTACGGGGTCTTCTACCTCTATTGGAAGTATGTCGTCTAGGACATCGAAGGGTACCGGTTCGTCGTCTTCGACGAGTAAATCGGGTAATGTTTCTTCTTCTGGAAAGGGAGGGGGGAAGAGTGGAGCGGTCAATTATTATACTGCTGCTAGGGAGAGGGAACGGGAGAGGCAGTTGAGGGTGCAGGAGAGGGGAGGGAGAGAGGGGAATATGAAGGCATTGGTGGAGAAACATGCGAGGAATCGGTTGGGGGCGTTGGGGAGGGGGCAGTGGGAATAGTTTTGTATTTAGCCTTTTGAGTTTGGTCTGAGGGAAGAGAAGGGGAGGGAGGGTATATGTGATGATCAATGGTTGTTTTTTTAGTTGCTTTGGAGGAGTTACGGGCATCAGAAGCTTGGGTGGTGTTATGGTTTGATTTAAATTGTCAAAGTACATAACTGAATCCTAACTATGTGCTTTTATATGCATGAGATTGAGTGTTCATTATCAAGCAGCATATTATCAACTGGTATATGACCCGAAAGATAACCACGTCGAAGTGAAAGGACTTTTGGTGCATCTACTACCAAGGTATACACATATACCATATACCTGTCCATCACTATTCATAGAGTAGCGCTAGTCCAACTACCCAATTCTCGCAGATGTACCACCCAGCGACGGATACATGATCTACCGTCACTGACGGCGGGATTGCTTTGCATCGGCGCGGATGACTGTGTGGGTTGTTGTCGGACAGCGGCGGTGGCAGCCTCTGTTTGTCGCCAACTGATGTCCAGCGAAGGGTTGACGCAAGCAGGCCGAGAGGTAGGCCCTAACTTGATTGTAGACATGCGTCGCAGAGCTTGCCGAATACGGTTTAGTTCCGACGATCGTATACGGAGAACGTTTGAATGATTCAGGACTCGGCAGAATCCCATCCTCACCGCCCATTAGCTGATGGCGAAATCGTCCATAGAACGGATCAGCTGTTCTAGCCCTGCGGCCCGAAACTGCGGCCCGGAATGTCCTGCAGCAGCCGGCACATGATGCACCACATAGTCGGCGGACAGAGAAGTAACATCGGTTGCCGTCCAGAGATTGCTCTTCAAGAGCCGCAGAACAGCGGTCACCTTGGGCGGCACCAGCGTTGGGTCCGGTTTGGTAGCTTCCAAGATAAGCTCAATCGTCCGCAAAAATGCCGTACACATGCGCCCCCATCCCAGGCTCAGGTGCCACAGCCCGACCACGCAAGCCTCTAGGACAAAGCTCCACTTAAAGTCCATAGGTCGTAATTGAGAGATGGCATGCATGCCGCCCACGAGGAAGTAATGTAGCATCACGATGGGAACAGATTTGAGTCCGTGGGATGCTTGGAACAAGAGAACGAGGGATCCAAGTGTATCCAGGGATTGCAACTTGATCGATTCTGGGTCGAAATCTGGATAATGAGGATGATTGCTTGTCGGGTCGGCATTTAAACTGAAAATTTGGCACAACGCCACGACCGTCGCCTGATAGTACATGCTGCAGTCGGTCGTTAGTAAGGCACCGAGCGACAATCTATGCTCTAACTCACTGAAGTGTAAGAATATTCGGCGCAGGATTTTCATCTGGCAAAAGGACGGATGGTAAGCTTGCCCGCCACTCCTGTAGTCTCTGATAGGTCTGACGGCCGTACTCCCAATCGTCTTGGGTGAGCTTGACGTCCGGAAACTTTAACGCGAAACTGGCAGTCTCATTGACAATTGCGACCAGTTTGTTGCGGAAGCACAGGGCCGTGTGATGAAAAGGCCGAAAAACCGGGGTTTGAAAAGGGTAGGGCTTCCATTCTTCGTCTTCATCCAACACCGCGGCCTCTTCTTGCGAGAAGCTCGCAGCAGGCGGTTCATCCCAAACCGGTGTCTTTCGATAAACTTGTGCCGCGAGTCTGTTGTGCTTCATCAGTCAGGGCCCAAGCATACATGGAGGGTCGCCACTTACGCCTGCACATCGAAAACGCCACAAGCAACGAACTTATGACACCGGGATAACGAGTCGACTTCGGACTCTACATCAGTAGCAAAGTAAGGGGCCGACTCGCGGTGAAGCCCCAGCTGCCGACTGAGCTGGGCGCCATGCATGATGTAGCGGGTCCCCAAGCGGTCAATGCCAAAGGTGCAACAAAGCAGGCCGATCATGATGCTGGACTGGGCCGTGGGAAGGCCAGTATCATCCTTTTCTGACTGCCACAGATGCTGCAGGGCAGAGTACAACTTCTTGCCCAGAGCCTTCTCCTCCCGCCGATCAGTGATGCGCCCCAAATGGTAGGAAGAGCTCTATCGAGAAACGTTAGTGGTTGACGTTCAGTACTTGACATCAGACTGCAGTGGCGTTTACACAGCCGAAAAATAAGAGCGTGTGGACGAGCAGCGACGAGCAAAACCGCTTACTCCCGCTCTCCAGGTCGCGGATGAACATCTCCTGGTCGACTAGGCGCCATGTTGGGTTCTCCCAGGCAAAGAAGAGGCTGAGAAGGTGGCTGGCTGTGGTGTTATCGACAAGGTCGGTCCAGGATTGAATGTTGCTGACCTGTACTAGAGGGGTCTCAGTGAGAGGATGAGAAGTGCTGTTTGGTTTAGTGGCCAATGTTATGTGCATGCGGTTTAAAGAAATCCCCGGTTTTGGCCGCGGTGAGAGTTGAGGATCCGCTATGGATCTGGCAGCTAGCAGCGCCGCAAAGACATCTGGAGATGCTTGGAAGTGTCTCTGCGGGGAGGTGGCAACCGGTCAGTATGGCAATGCTCTGAATACTCTGGAGAGGCGAAGTGGCAACATCGAAGGCACTACGCACATTAAGAATGTCCTCAATGGAAGAAGCCCCCGTCCGCTGCGTGTCGGTAATGATGTCGCTCAGAAGCGATTCGTAGGCGACGACCTTGTTGCGAACGGATTCGAGCTCCAATTGTTGTCGCTCGCGCTTAGAACCGGCATAATTGCAGACGAGATCCAGACGACGACATTGGCGACAAACGGGTTTACGACCATCACACTTGGTCTTTCTGGCGCGACAGGCGACACAGGCGCGTGGCGTCCGTTGCTGGTTGGCCTTGACGGAAGGCGGCGCCAGCCGAGGGATGGCAATCTTCAAGTTACGGTTGGCGGACGGGGCGGAATCGAGAGTAGGCTGGGATGGTGAGAGGTCGTCAGACGCGCTGCTGGCATCAGAAGAACCCTGCATATCCAACTGAGCTGGTTGGAGAGGGAGAACGAGCAGGGGACGAGCAGACGGAAGAAGAGAGAAAGAGAAAACAGAAACAGAAGCGCCGCAACAAGGAAGAAGGCAACTAGGAGCCCTGCTAGTTGCCCAATGCGGCAATAGCCACTCCGTCACTGGCTGATTCAGCTCGGCGCGCCAAGCCGGAAGTCTCCCCGAGCAATGATTTGCTGTTATTTTCAATTCGAATTGTTCTGGATTCTTCGATTTGCCACTGTCAGCAACATCTGATAAGAAGTTTAACCATAGTTTATAGCCCAGGATACTTCTGCCACCGAGGCTTGTACACTAGCTTGCCATGCTACATTATTTGAGTTCTTTACAACAGACCGATTATATCTTGATCTAAGTAAAACCACTAATATGCGATAACGTCACTAGTGTGGAATTTTTTACTCCTTAAAATTTGGGTCGAGACCCTTTTGTCCGGTACCTAATCTTTGGACCTATCAATCAAGGCAGAAATGGATCCTAGCTAATCCCGCGGGTTTGATTCAAACCCCGATTCAGATATTGTCAGGTACCAAAGTTTACGCTCTAATTTCTTTGCATAAGGAATCCCATAACTACTTATGCCCAGTTGCTCACTCACAGAGAATTATTTCGAAATAAGCATCCCCACTGTGGTGGAGAGGGGGTGGAATGTGAACCTCAGATACTGACTCGTGGGTACAATGCAGCGGTGGCATCATCGTAGCTCCCACATGAACTCGAGGGGTAAATATATCTGATTATTGTTGCCTGGCCGGTGTGCAAGGACCAAGGGGTCCAACCCCTCGGGTTTGATCTGATTTTGGTTTGATTTTCAAACCAAAAGGAGGGGCTGAAAATCCGGGGTAAATCCAGGCCATGACTAACAAACAAACCAGACTAATTCTGCAGCCAGCCACTTCCGTCTTTGTACAACTACGGGTGTATACATTCACCCAATAGATGCATGCATGAACAAGGATAGTATACTACGAACAAAGAAAAAAGAATAGTATAACAATCAAATCATAACATCATCATTGTATATGCAAGGGGCTGCAATGCTAGATAAAAGAACACTAATTCCGGCCAATCAATCAATTCCTCCGCAGAAAGTGATCAAGCCAGCTTCGCCTCACGACCCGACCTTCAACCATCAATACAACCAATCAGCTCTATATACAATATACATCGGGTTCAATCGTGAAGGCGATAAGGAAAAAGAAAGGATGTAAGGAAAAGGTATAAGGCCAAAGCTTACACAGAAGCAAAGAGCTCGTCAAACTGCTCCAGCGCGATCTTAGTCGCATCAACGCCATACAGCTCCTTCTGAACATCGGCATCCGCCCACTTGTCGGGCACAGGGCCCTTACCCTGGCGGAGGGCAGCGAACTGGCGATCACGCTCCTCCTTGGCAGCACCTTCACCCAGGTGAAGAGCACGGCCGGAAGCGGCAGCCAGCTCGACGATAGCGTAGGCTCGGTCCTTGCGCACCTTCTCGTAGACCTTGAGGGCCTTGTGGATGGAAGCCGGGGTGGTATCGGGGAGCTTGGAGAGGACAGCACCGATGACACCACCGTCCTCGATGGCCTGGGCGGCACCCTGTGCGAGATGGGGCAGGGTAGGGTGGCAGGCATCGCCGACAAGGGCGACGGTCTCGTGCACCCAGGTGGGGAGGGGCTCGTGGACACGCAGCTTCCACTCGCAGACTTCACCCTCGGGGACGTAGTTCAGCATACGCTGGACCATGGGGCAGAAGTCGCCGAAAACGCCCAGCATGACGGACTTGTCACCGCGGGTGGTGTAGGTGGCATTGGTGGCGGCGGCGAAGTGGGTGTCAGGCTGGGTGGTGGAGAGGTTGTAGATGGTGTTGTTAGAGACGGGGTAGGCGATGATATGACGCTTCTCGCCGATCCAGCGAGTCACGCGGTTGCCGTTCATGAGTTCCAAGAGCTCAGGGTCGTCCTTGATCTGGTCCTTGTGGATCATGATACGGTAGGCGGCCTGGTGGGTGTCCTTGACGCCGGCCTTGATGCCGAGGAGGTCGAGCATGGCCACGCGGGACTGGGACTTG